CACACCCCCCGGCCTGCGGCCGCCAGCCAATCAGAAACCGCGCACTGCGCCGAGCGGCGCGGGCCGACGCACGGCGGCCAATGAGAGAAAGGCAAACGCGCAAGCGTGCTGAAGGGGCCTGGCGGGCGCGGGGGAGGGGCGAAGTGGAGGGGCGGTGCCTGCGCGGCCGGCGCGCGCCGACGTCAGTTTCGCGGGAAGCTTTGTGCTCAGCAGCGCCCAGCCAGGCCCGCCCCCTGCTTTCGACCCCTTACCCTCCGACCCACCGCTTCCTACGGGCGCACCCTTCATCCCGCGGGTCCTGCGCCTCGGCTGCTGCAACTCCGAAGAACCTTGCGACCACAGTTGCCGTGGACCGGTCTCCGTGCTGAGAAAGAGCTAGGGAAGCTACTGCTGCGGGACAGCGGGCCCCCGGGCGCGGCCTGGCCCAGGGTGGAAGCAGGCCGGGGCGGTGGAGCCTAAGGCGCAGTTCGGAGCAGGGTCTGGGCCCCACCAGGATCTTGAGCCGAGCACACCGGTGACTAGGACGATCTCCGTTGTGGGGAGCAGAGGGCCTGGGCTTCAGGGTCTTGGGCAGATGTCCACCTACCCTCGGCAAGTGGCAGCTCCCCCTGTCCTGTCCGGCCGGACACCTGAGTGCTCTTCTCCGTCAGGGACCGGGTCAGAGGGCGGTCAGTCACAGCCCAGCTTCAGGCCAAGCCGGCCTCCTCCTGCAAGGTGGGGCAGGAAATGGAAACCAGGTCGAGGACCTGTTAGGCCCCTGGAAGGGAGCTAGGAGAGAGGGTATGAGTGGGTGTGGGAAGTATGTATCAGGGTCCGGGCGAGAGTTAGGGCTGGTGGCCCTGGCTGGGTGGAGACTGTTTTTTTCTGTTCAGGACACCCTCAGGGTCCTAAAGGTACATGATTCTGAGGAAGTGCCATGGGTTGAAGAGCACCTCCATGGAGCATCTGGGATAGGGGCTCCTGTAGAACCGCTAAGAGGCACCAGTGCCTTGGTTTGGGTTTGACCTGAAAACGGGATTTCAGTGCATGTTGTCTGTTTGGCAGGGGCCTCCAGGAAACACTTGAAGAGTGAGAACAGGAACCCTCAGGGGACCCAGAGAGGCATACACCCCTTTTCTGCTGGGTCATCGATTGGGGCAGCTCCAGGAAAAGTTCACCTCTGGGGTCTTGTGGATTACACATCTCATTAGGCATTCAGCTGGGAAGTTGTTTTCCCCTTTGTGGACATTGTCCATGGTTTCTACACAGGGCTGGCAGGGTGGCTTGGACTTCCTTGTACCATAGAAGCCATGTTGTAGTTGGCAAATGTTTATTGCACCTCTGCTTGGATCATGCTTGTCCAAAGCAAGACATGTGGGCAAACCCAGAGTGCCCTGCGGGGGTGGGGGTGGGGCCTCCACACAGAAGCAGGGATACTGGAGGTGTGTGCACAGTGTAGCAGCCCCCACACTGCCCTCTGGCCTTCAGTAATTCCGGTTCCTTCACATGAAAATTGCACTCATCCTAAAGGCAAAATGTTCCCATTGAACCAAGAAGACTCATGTCAACCGCATGTTACAGAGCTGCTCCAGATCATTGTCTTGGTTGTAATCTTTACAGAAGCTGGTTCCCAATCTTTCTTTCCCAACATCTCTTGAGTGAGTTTGAACCAACAACCTTTAGGTTAGTCCCCTGCCACTCAGTCACTTCCAACCCATAGTGTCTCTGTATAGGGTTTCCAGGACTTCACTGAACAGACATCCCTAGGAGCTCACAATTTTATGGCTAGTTGTCCAGTGTTGATCCTCCAGCCTACACCCGGACTCTTTTGTAATAACATTGTTAAGTGTCTTCAAGTCGGTTCCGACTCATAGTGACCCAGTATAGGGTTTCCCAGGAGTGACTGGTGGGTTTGAACCAGTGACTTTGATGAGTAGTCCAGTACTGTTCCTACAGTCCACACCAGGACTCCTTTGTAATAACGTTAAGTGTTGTGAATCACTTCTGACTCCTAGCCACTCCGTATAAGGTTTCTGAGGAGTAGCTGCTGGGTTTGAACCACCCAGTTTGTAGTTAGCAGTCCAGCGCTGATCCTACAGCTCACACCACAACTCCTTGGTAAGAATGTAGTTGTTAAGTGCCGTGAGTCAGTTCTGATTTATAGGGACTCAGTATAGTGTTTCTGAGGAGCAGTTGATGGGTTTGAACCACCCGCCTTGTGTTAACAATCCTACTGCTCACACCCGGACTCTTGTAATAGTCTCATTGTTGTTAAGTAATGTGAGTCGGTTCCAACTCTTAGCGATCCAGTGTAGGGTTTCTGATGGGTTTGAACTGCCCACCTGGTAGTCGTTAGCAGTCCAGTGCTTATCCTCCAGCACCATACCAGCACCCTTCTCTTGCTCTTTTTTGTTGTTGAGTGCTGTTGAGTCAGTTTCAACTCATAGTGCACCTGTATAGGGTTACCAAGGAGCAGCTGGTGAGTTTGAACCGCCAACCTTTTGGTTCCAACAGCCTTACTGTCCAGTGCCTGTCCTACTCTTGTTGTCGTTGTTAGGTGCCATCAAGTCATAGCAACTCTGTGTACAACAGAACAAAACACTGCCTGGGCCTGGGCCAACCTCAGAATTGTTGCCACGCTTGAGCCCATTGATGCTACCATTTTGCCAATCCATCTCACTGGGGGGCTTCCTTCCTACTCTTTGTTGTTGTTGTTATGTGCCATGGAGTCAATTCTGACTCATAGCGACCCTGTACAGGGTTTCCGAGGCTATAAATCTTTATGTGGGCAGAAAGCCTCATCCTTCCTAGAGACAGGCAAAGTGAAAGACAAGTTGTCTGCTCCCTATAGTATTCAAAAGTGAAACACAGGACTACTAGGGCAGTGTTCCCATTCAAAGGGGGAAGGCCCCAGCGGTCACTACTCCATGAAAATGTTGGAATCCAACCAGACTGTAAACAGCGGCCCCTCACCACTAGAGGCAGCAAAGCTCTAATCCTGACTGGCCGCCTCCCCGTTTCTCCCGTCTCAGCAGTTCTGGCCTCGCTCACTCGCTTGCTCTCTTGAGACTGGGCCTCTGCACTGAGTCACCTTTCCGTTGTTATAGGAAACAACCCAGCCTGCTTCTCACCTGCTTCTGTTGCTGCAGAGTCAACTGCAGTCCATGGGGACCTTATGGATAATGAAAGGGAACCGTGAGCCATTTCCACGACCAACCATATATTTTAGTCCATTGTGTGGCTACTCTATCAGCCAGCTCCTGGGAGGGTTTCCTCCTGTTTGCTGACCATGATGTACTTTTCTACAGGTTGGTCTTTCCTGATGATATGTCCAAACTTAAAATAGCCAAGGTCTTGCCACCCTTGCTTCCAAAAAGAGCATTTTGTATCTTCCTTTTTCTGGCAGCCCGTTGTATATTTCATGTTCTCCAACAGCACCAATCACAGGCCTGGGTTCTCCTTCCAGCTTTCCTTTTCATTGTTTACCTTTCATATGCATATAAGGTGACTGAAGAGATCATGACTGAGTCATCAAAATGAGAGTTTTGATATTTAAGTGTTAGAGAGGTTTGGGGCCACAGGGGTGCCCAGCACAATAGGTATGGATATTGTGGGTCCAATAGGGTGAATCTGTTGGAAACCCCACAGCGTTTTCTCCAATTATCGGCATTTATGAGCCCAGTTTTGAAGATTCCCATTTTCTTCCCATTCAGGCATAATCCATATTGAAAGCTGTGGTCTTTGACCTCTATTAGTAAGTACTTCAAGTCCCCTTCACTTGTTTCATGGGCATATGTCAGCTTGTTAATGAATCTTCCTCCAGTCCTGATGCCATGTTCTTCCACTCAGATGAATTGCTCAGTGGGCAGATTGAGTAAATAAGGTGTGTTAAAACAAAACTCACGTTAAACCAATCATAGAAAGTCTTTAAAGTGCAGTTGATTGGCTTCTGACTCACAGCCATGCTGTATAGCATTTCTGAACGGCAGCTGTTGGGTTTGAACTGCTGACTTTGCGGTGAACAGTGCATATTCTACAGCGCTACCGAAATTGGTTGAACCTGATTAAATACACATTTAGACTCTCAGAATCCAACCAAACCCAATGCTATCTAGTAAATTCCTAATCATGCCCAAAGACCGAGGAGCAATGCCCCGTTTGGTCCCCATGGCTGTGGTCTTGACAGGAGCTGACTGTCACGTCCCCCTCCACAGACCAGCTGATGGTTCCAGCCACCGGCCTCCTGGAGCAGTTAGAACTTACACCATCAGGGCGCCTGCCATTTCCACTTGTTGTGAAGTGTTATCAAGTTGGTTCCAGAGGAGCAGAGTTCAAACCACTGACCTTACAGCTAGCACACCAGTGCTTCTCCTATAGCTTCCACCAGGACTCCAGCATTTCCACTAGGGAATCAAAACTGGTCCAAAGAGGAGACATTCTCAGCACTCTACACCATCTTATCTATGGGCATTGTCACTGGAAAAAGTTTGCAGGGAACCTTACTTAATAAGCATGTACCCTAAAACACCGTTCCCCCTCACACCCTGAAGTTCAGGTTCTCCAAATTAACTGCACACAGATAATTCTTTAAAAGAACCCAGATGCTTAAAGCAAAATGCTCCTGTCTTTTACATGACTTTTTGCTTTCCTCCATATGATGTTCTAGATGTTGCAACTTTGATTCATTAGGGCAGTACTAATCTGAGACAACTCCTCTGGCCTCCAATCCTTAGGTGCCGAATGTATCAAATTTGTTCTTGAAATGGTTTCTAAATTCAGATGGAATATACTCAAGGTCCTATTTTGTTCTTGAAGACTTGTTTAATTCTCTTCAGTTTCAGAGTGAATGAGCATATGAGCACCTGGTGGTCTGTTCCACAGTTGGCCCCTGGGCTTGTTTTAGAAGAGAATGTGTCCATTTGAAAGCAAGATGGCCACATGGAATATGAAATTATTAAACTATTTCATTAATATCACATGCAAGTAAAATTGTGCTGAAAATAATTCAAAACCGGTTACAACACTACATCAACAAGGAACTGCCAGAAATTCAAACCAGATTCAGAAGAGGACTGGAACGAGAGATCGCACTGCTGAAGTCAAATGGATCTTGTCTGAAAGCAGTGAATACCAGAAAGATGTTTATTGGTGCTTTATTGACTATGCAAAAGCATTCAACTGTGGATCATACAAACTATGGCGAGCATTGTGAAGCATGGGTATTCCGGAACACCTACCTCATTGTGCTCCTGAAGAACCTCTGCACAGACCAAGAGGCAGTCATTTGAATAGAACAAAGGGATACCGAA